ATAAAATTAATAGCTTAGTTGAGTTACCTCTCGACGAAGATAAATGGCTTAACATTTTAGAAGTTGTCTTAGAATGTCTTAGTGAATGTATGAAGATGGTTTCGGTGTCTACAACGACTTTACGTAAGTTGGGTTTTTCTTTTCTGCGATGTAAGTAAGCCATCTATTCAATTTTCTTGTGCTGCTCTCTAAATTATCCTGGAAGTCACAGAGGCTGTATTATAATGTAGACAGGCATCTGATTTGTTGACTTAACATTTTTTAATTTAAAATGTGTGAGTAAAAAGGAGTCACTGTAACCTAAGGAGGATGCCAAAGTGTCTGTGCCAACTTGAGCGTCCCGATAAAACCAAGCGATAGTAGACCATGGGGAATGTGCCATCTTCCTCTGTTGAGATCTAACTATAAAGCTCGTCATCATATACCCTCATTCAAAATTGACGTCAAGTCAATACTGGTATACAAAAAGATTGTAGACAATAAGTCACTATACATAAACCAAAACATCTGATTAGCAAACTTTTGTTGGAAATTATTTTTACCTCGGAAAAATAATATAATCTAGATATGATTGTGGGTAGTTTGAAAGTACCGAATTGCACATTTTGGTAGAAAATAAAATTCTCTCAAATAACAGTGAGATCTTTGAACCTGAGTTTAGGCGAATTCGTTAAACTGTTTAGGCCAGCCTGGCATCAGTCTAGAGAAAGTTAAAAACCTTCACAATGAACTTATCCGCATGTAGGGAGACATGTCTCCATCATGGCATATCAAACCGATGCAATACTAGGCTTGGTCAAATATGCTTTGGAAGTTTGGGCTCTGCTTGGGCGAAAATGATATAAGAGATGTATTCAGCCTATTTTGTTTAAGGTGAGGAAGGACTGATAATTGAATTTTCACATAATTTTACGAGTAGACCTTACGTTTCCATTGAATTTCGCATAATCTTGCTTCCCGGAAGGTATTCCCATACAAGTCTGACTGTAGTTTCGACCTCGCCTATGTCTTATCAATAACCTCAACGAGACTCGATCCGTGACTTTGCAGCATATAATCTCGGCACGTTAACCACTACGCCGCATTGCCATGAGTGCCATTTAGGTCACAGGGCAGGTGTGAATTTCTAAGGAGGCCAGGTATTTTTCCATACTTCATTCTGTGGTGGGGTTATCGATAAAACAACGTTATATTTGCTATGTCAATCGACTGCATTACCTATTTATCGCTCAATTAGTAGGCTTATTCGAGACTAACATTTGAATTAGTATAAGAGCTCTATTTACTCTATTTAATTTAAGGAGATGAAGGTGGGAAAACTCAACTTACAGTCCTTCATCGCCTTAGACGAAATAGGATGAACACAGTTCTCATATTATATCTATTAATAGTCTCGAAAGGAACCTACTTATAAAACGGAAAACAAGTAATGTAGTCGATTGCTATAGCAAATTCAACTTTGTTTCATCAGCAATTCCACCACAGAATCTGGTATAGAAAAATGCCTGGCCTTCTATGAAATTCACATCTGCCCTGTGGCCAAATAAAACTCGTGGTAATGTGGCCTAGTGATTAACGTGTCGAGATTATACTCTAAGCTGTCATGATCGAGTCCAGCCGGGGGTTTTTATAAGGCTAGGTGAGGTCGAAACTACAGTCCACCTTGAGTGAGAATACCTTTTAGAAGCAAGGCAATGTGAAATTCAATGGAAGCCTAAGGCCTAGCCATATAATTGTGCTACAATTCAACTACTACTTCTTTATCACTTTAAGCGAAATACAGCTCTTATATCATATCTACAGTTAGTCTCTAAAAAGACAACTTATAAAATGACAAGAATGAGTTTGATGCATTACGCTCTTCGACCTCACCTCCGCTTCCAGGTTGCAAGGCTTATCTGGATTCATCGAAGCCACCCTTAAAAAGCTGTTCTATTGCAATGCTTCAGAACCAGCTAGCTTCTTCATTGAATATTCACCCCCAGTTCACCCTCCTCTGCCTATCCTGGGTCATACTAGCTTAATTTTATACTAGGATGACTTTAGCCATTGTAGTGCTTTGTCTGTAAACCGCAAAATAGACGCTTGGATTAATAGAGGTTCATTCACTGTTCTACATAACAGGACCGCGGAAATAACGAGTTCTGGAAGCATGTTGTTTTTGACAAGGTTAAGTAATTTCGAAAGTTTTGAGTTAAATCAATACCAGCCCGTTTTTCATATTTGAGCATGCATGATAATTACACATTCTAAGGGTTCCTGATAAAGTTGTCAAGACGACTGTAAAGTAAGTTACTTGAGTGCCAAGAAACGTTTTGTTTGTGTTCCACCTTTAACTATATATTTCTCATTTGGGGGGATATAATCCTCTAAAAATAGCAAGCATTAGCACAATTGGTAAAATCCATCTTTGTGGAAAGGTTGGTTTACAAACAAACGTATAAACCAAGTAGTTAACGTTTTTTCAGCTATGCAATCCGTTCCCAGGCTAATGCACAAGTATGCCACATAATAATGGTTCCTAAGATAACAATATGTATTTATTACCTCGTTGCTCAATATTTATTATTATGAAATAAATTTTAATTAATAAATTCGATCGTAGATATAATGATAAAGATGGAGTGACCTTAGCTTTGGTCACATTCTTCGGTAGTTGTATAATATTGGTTATAGCTCGCTTTCGCAGCAAATTCGGAGCTACAAGAAAACCTTGCGTCCTCTGAGATGCCGGTGAAGCACCTGGGAGTGTACCAAGTCAACGCTCAGATACTGGAAATTATCATTAATATTATGCCAGAGGATTCAGGACTAAGTATGCTCTACAAAGTCTCACTGTCGATCCAACCACTTTGCAAAAGGGGTAGGTAAAACCAACACTTAAATAGTAAAAAGTGAGTATTTAGGTTTGTAATGAATGGACTTTAAAGCAATCCTTATTGAGTTAGCTTGATCTCGTTTTGGCAATTTACTCATACTTTCTAGGAGATCTAGCATAATGCAGCCATTTCTGAGTCATCCACCATTTTAGTCTTTGTCCAGTATCTAACTGTGGATTGTACCCATTCACATACCTTTCCCTTGCATCGTAGTTCTCATTACCAATGGGCAACGGCAACTTTAGCTGCCATTTATAGCTTTTCAGGGGCAAAAGAAATCAATCTCCCGGCAAATTTCCTTTTGAATAGTTTTGGCTTTTCTCCTTCCCTTATTTGGGCTTGGTACATGTCATTTTGCCTATTGCTGTCTCCCTAACCCTAATTTATGCTTACGATGACTAAGTCCCTTCCCTACTCCAATCTGTTTCCTCACTTGTTTCGACAAACTTCATGCATGCATCCCATGCGATGGGTTTATCGAACAGTAGTTACATTCCTCCTCGATCCTTAATCCCCTCTGCTGGACTTCTTGGTCTGTATTGAAGCCCCTAGTTGACAATCCTAACCAAATTTGCATAATTGCGTTAGCATGTGAATAAAGCACATCATATTGTTTCTAATATATGGTTAACTTAAATTTTGAACCTAACGGAATATCCGGTTTTAATATAGCCGAAACATTACAATCGAATAAGTAAGCTTCGAAACTATCTGTTGCTTTTGAATAGGTGGCTCAGTTAGTACCCCAGTAGGCAAAGTGTCCTTCATTAAAAAAGATTAAATAAGAATAAAACGAAGTTACAAATGTATATTATTTTTTTCAATATTTTTTATATACGCTATTGCAACGATAATCGCACAAAAAAGGTTATCTTTGAGAAGGCATGAGGTAAATGCTTCCTTTACTTTTGAAAGAAATGTAAGTTCCATAAAAGGAACGCGTAGTTTGACTGAATAACCGCCCTGATTATGCTGGCACAAGTTCCTTTTCATAGGAGGCATCTGAAGTGACAAGTTGGGCTGAATAACAGTTGGCAAATACGTAATTGTTAATAAGTCACTCAACTGATTTGTTTACCGAGTGTATGCATACAGGCACATTGGGTGTACGCTACTGAGTATGGGCAAATTGCATTGTGCTTAAAGAAACCAAAAGAGGAATTTTACTAAAAAGAAGTAAAGAGGAATGGCTTGATGAAATCCAAGTGACAACTAGATGAGTAAATTCTTCAGAGCTGATGTAAATTATATATATATATGTGTGTATACAAATTTAGAATGTATGTGAAGAAGAATGGGATCTACTTTACAATTATTTACAGAATTATGTTAGAACTTTGTGTACAATAAGAGTCTCCAAATCCTCGTGTGGAAACGGATCAACCTCTTATATTTGAGCCTAGTCCTCTCCTGCAGAAAGAGAAATCAAGATAGGCCTGTAAATAAAAAAGAGCCCTTTATCGTGGATATTAATGTGGATAGTAATGAAAAACATGAAGCAGCCTTAAGAATGTAATAGGACTATACATATTTTAGGGAGTGCCACTCGAAATGGTGAGATATTCAGGCTAATGAAGCATAAAACCGGACTATTTCAGTTTCCTCTTCGAAGGTCGGTAATAAAGCTTAAGTAATTTAAGAGGGGCCGTGATTGTCTGGGTATTCTTGAGCTAGTCAAGCTGTAGAACTTCGGCTGAGTTCCGCCTAAACTATTTTACCTTCACTTAGCATCTTTTCTGGCCTATAATGTTGCAAAGCCGCCATGATTCGGACGGGACTATAGTCCATTTTAAAGGAAATAGTGCTGGCTCCTATTTCTTTTCGAAACAATGAAAGTGACATTAGTTGATAGGAAGTGCTGAGAGGGTTTGGCAAAGGGTTTGCAAACAGATGGGCGAGTAGATAACTTGATACTTCATCCCTTAAATGGGTGCTACAATGACATGTGTAAAATTCGCCATAGTCGTGGCTGGTCAAAAGGTAGCAGAAAAACTTGGCTACGTGTGTGCGGATGAGTGTAACTTGGGTTTTTGTTTGATCATTTCTCGTCTACGCAAGTATCAGGCCAGTTTGGGATTTGCTGATTTGATCACCGGTGTTCGTTGTGGTCAAGCCCTCTGATCACCTGGTGGAACACGGGGATGGATCTCGCGTTCCCGACAGATCAGCTACACCGTTGTCCGAGTCTGGTTTGGCCTCAAATATTCCATTATCAACCTCCTCCTTTTCGAACTTATTGCCTCCTCTGCCGTCAGAATCCACGAGGGGGTCCGAACTGGAACGAAGCGCCCGACTTGATGAAATTGCCTCTGCTTGATTCAGACTGGAGGGTACCACTTTTCTACCATAGGGCAGGGCTGATTGAAAGCGGGTAAAAAGAGTCATGGAATCTGGCTGTTGACAGATAGACCTTCGTCGAATTTGGTGTGCAGTGGTCATTGCAGTAAGCTCAGATTCAGTGCCCCTCTTCTCCTCATCTTTGCCCGACTCATATTCGACGATATTCTGTCCTTCTTCATCTGCTTTTGAGCCACATCTTTTCAGCTCTCCTACAACCTCGTTCCTGCTGAGCCTTGAATTCAAACCAGCAAATTTAATCTTCCCGTTGCTCTCCTCCATCTCTTTCATCTCTCGCTTAGTCCGTCTTCTCTCATGGGCCTCCATTGGAGGTTGATGCTGGCCAAACAAGTTCATTCTTACAGGCGGATTATGCCCGGGCGTATAGTTGGCAAATGACTGATGCAGATCAGATGTCTGTTCTCCAAAGTGATGGGGAACAAGACTCTCATTTCCGGGCTGAGGCAGGGGCGTTTGCAAAAATGGACCCGAGTGAGGGTCTAAATGGCTCGAAGCAGCCGAGGCATGATGAGGCATTGCGCGAAAAAATTCGCTAGCAGCCGCGGAAACTGCGGCCACAGTAGCCGCCTCACGAATGGCCCGGTCGCTTGAACCTGAGCCAACGAGAGCAGTAGACGCCAGCCCTTCAGCCGCCTCTTGGTCATGCTGGTTAGCTCGGGGCTGGAGCTGCTGTTGTGTTTGCTGTTGGTGTGAGTTCTCCGAGGGTCTGAACATGGCAGCCGCCGTGTAGGGGTGACCAGTGACTGCAGCAAAGTTGGCCGAGAAAGCTGCCGCTGCAAAGCGGTTGGACAATGAGGCTGCGGAGGGGCTGTGGTGGTGGGATAGGTCACGGAGTATGGGAGAACCAGGTTCGATGACTGTAGAATGGAGGGGAGCCGGCGGAGGGAGTAAAGGGGGCTGGCAAGAAGATGAAGCCCGAAGAAGATGGGATTGCGGTGGAGGGGAGGCCATCGAAGCTGGTGACAGCCTGAGCTGCTGTAGCGGCTGGGGTGGCGAGAGCACCTGTTGATGCCGATGGCATTGGTGGGCAAGATGCTGCTGATGCGAGGGGTTCAGTTGCAGGACTGTGGGCGAAGCGTGCTCAAAAGAGGGCTCGGAATTGTGTTCCGTCTCCAAGTCTGGAGTAGTCGCTGTGGCGTTTAAATGGGTAAATCCACCCTCAGCCAGCTCCAGGGTTGGGTGCGAACGATGAGCAAGTGGATATGCGCTGACGTGTTGCTGGTGTTGATGAGGATGAGGCTGGGGCGGCTGATGCGAAGTGTGCTGGTGATGCTGAAAGTGCTGGCCGAATTCGCCACCGGAAGGCTGTGAGCCAAAGCCAAGCAGATGATGCGTATTGTCACCTGGCACCATACCATCTCTTGCAGGTCCTTGTGTACCAGCTCCGGCTGGCCCGTTCGCGCCAGATCCGGCGGCAACAGCTGCTACGGCCGCCATTGCGGCCACCATAGCAGCAGAGGATACGGAGGACGGCGGCGGGCTGCTTCCTATTGGTATTGGCCCACTACCTGCTACATTGCATGTACCGTTGTTGCCGGAGCA